TTTATTTATTTATTTTTGATAAAAGCGATTTTTATATTTTGCTTGAGATACTTTAATAATTGAGCTAATAGCGGTTGGTTCCTCTTATAATATTGCAATCAAATTGTATGTTTATTTGGGGGTTCTTTTGGGATGTTAAAGTGCTTAAGCTACAAGGAGCAAACACTTCTTATTTCACATGTAACGATCTCCAAACACGGGTTATTTAGATATGTGAACATGTCTCATTAGTCATTACCTCTCCATTTTGCAATTCGATGCTACACTTTTTGTATTAATATTGTCGAATAATATAAGAGATTTCAAATTGCATTGGATCTTCAAACACGGATTAACTTTATAATTCAATCATGTTAATTTTACATTGAATTTCGGTTTCACAGAAGGATGCAGAGATTAATAGCATTTTGACTAGACAGTGGTGAAAACTTGAACGAACTTAGATTTTATTTTTATTAAATAACACTGACAAGTGAGAATTATTAATACGATTGTGCTTTATTAGTTGGTCCCCAATCTCTCGTTTTCTATAGTTTAAATGTGTCTCAAAATGGACATGTCATGCATGTATACGTTATGTTAACTATGCATGTTTTTATTTCTTTTGAAACTTATGTTAATTATACATATTAAGTTTACAAGAATGTTTTTTTTCTTTTAAATTGATGTTTATCTGTTTGTTGTTATAATGATAATAAACGATAAAAACAATTGTTAATCTTTCTTTTTTAAAGTGTTAACGAACTTTTTTTTAAGTGTGAGTTACTATTTTTTTCGTCCTAAACTAACTTTTATTTGATAAAAAATCACTTGGTTTTCTTTCTTTCTTGTCTATGGAAGAAAAAGTGCAAAAGTGTAGTTGGATACAAATCTTTTTGGTCTGATATGTTCATCTTTTTTTGTCAGATGCTAGTTAATCTAATAAATAGAAACGACAAAAAATTCGAAATCTACTAATAAAAAAAATAGTGGGGAAAATTATAAAGTAAATTAAATAAAATGTGGAAGGTGGGGGATTTTGACAAATGGCCAGCTCTTCATGCCAGCTTTTGTCTTCCATCCTCCATGTGTTCATCTACTTCTTTCTTTTACTTACTTGCCGCTTTTTATATATTTATATATGTATGTATTAGTTGAAAGTTGAAACAAATCATAAAATATTTAAATTAAAATCCATTTCCAATCTTCATAAACACAACAAGCACTGTATAAGGTTTCATATAGTTGTTGCAGTATAAACCTAACGAACCATACTTTTATGAACTTCAATTTATTTAGTTTGGGTAAATTCAATATTAGTTCTGTTAAAAAGTATAACAACTAAATTCTAAGAAAATTTGGTTTAGTTTCAAGTCAAAGTACAATTCAGTATTAGTTTGATTGAAATCGGTTTAAATGCTTATTCTTGATTAACATCTTATCTTTGTTGAGATTAATAACAACAATAATTTTGTTAGTGTGTCCTTTAATGGTTGAAAATTGTTCATTATTTTTACAAATCAATAATCAAACATACTCATATTCATATAAGACTTTGCAGTCATGTCGGCCAATTTGTTTCGAACTAAATGGTTTTTTTTGTATAATAAAACGTTGAATATTTTTATATAAATAAGAATAGTGGATCTGATCTTTTGAAGAATATTTAGATAATTGAAATTTATGAGGAAGAAGACGACAAAAAACACTTTTAGAGGAAGAAGATATGGATGATCTCTCGAGAATCTTTCCCCTTATTATATTCTTTTGTCAAATCCCTTTATGATTTTAAAAATCAGTATTTGTTTTTGAATGTCTTTTAAAAGCAAATTTAAGAATATGTTTTTGGGTTTCAACGAAGTTACTTCGTAACCCGAACTCGTCCGTATCAGGAACTAATGGAGATAACATTTACTTCAAAAAGAACTAAGGATGTTTGCATGTGTATGGTATTAATTGTACTATAAATTTTGGTTTCTATTTGTGAGCACAAAGGAAAATGTTAATAATTTTCTATTCGAAAACATTATGAATTTAGTTTAGTGTTTGAAACTTTATGGTTATCGACAAAACAAATATATGTAAAAATGAACTTTAGGAATTGCGAAAGAAATTTCTTATTGCCAAAAAAAAAAACGATGTTTACGTATCCATTTAATTACGTACAACAATTCAATATTGGTGATTAACATGGCACGAGACATTAAGACTTAGTCCAATAATTCGGCGAGATGCTTCCCAACGAAAGTTCGTAATTTCGGAATTTTTATTTTCCATGTTTTTTTTTTCGTATTTTCTTAAAGAAATAGAGATTTTTTTTCTTATATGTAGATCTTAAATCACATGGACGTACACTACTGGACTTTTTGAAAAGGTTCTTCGTGCACTTTTTAAACATTCCTTTTTTAAAAATAGTATATATGGGACCTCATTAATCACTACCATCAATCATTCACCAATGGACTCGAATAACTTTTAAGATTTTTTTTTGTTTTTCTTATCTTACGAAACCAAACCCAATCATTCATCAATATCATTTTCATTTTATTATTATAATAACACTAATTATTTTCCCTTTTTAATTGTTATAGACTTATAGTATTATTATACCAGAGCCCACTTGAGAACCATCTCTTAAGAGATCACTATCCTTTGATCTCTATTTTGTTCGTCTATAATTACGTATAACTAAGTTTTAATCTCTAAATTTGCCACATTAAATTTTATTTTTGTTTATCAGCCGGTGGATTTATCTTTGTCAATTTCTGTGAGCTGAATATTAATTATATCGTTTGTCTTTGTCCAACAATGGGATCATGGACCATTCTTCTGACATGTTTCTTGTTTTTTCCTTTCTCAATATTTTCCAACCAAATCCCTTAGATCTCAGTGTATATAGTAGTATTAACTATAATCCAACTTTAGCTTTTATTATTTCTTCATAAGAAAAAAAGTGTGAGAGTTTTTGTGGTCCATTTGTGAAAACAAAATTCCCACCAAGAAAAAATTAAACAAGTTGGGTTTACATTATACTCAGTGCAACTGCATATACATTCTCCTAATTTTACATGTCCTTTTCCAACAAAAAAAAAATGGCGATTTTTAAAACTGGGCTTGACTAATGGGCCAATACGGGCCCAGTTTTATAAGTTTATATTATGATTGGTTCGGCCCAAACTAGTGTAAGCCCATTACAAGAAAATGCAAATCCAAACCCAAGAGAAATTATATCTGCAAGCAAAACAAAGAGTTCTTTTGAAGCTTTATTTTTCTTTCTTCTCAATTAATTAGCTAACGAGAGATCTACACGCGAAAACTGAATCACACT